TCGTCGTGGTTCGCGTCAGCGTGCTCCTCCTGTCCCTGGCACGCACCAGAGCATTGTGCTTTGTTCGGTGCTCCAATCTCTGCTCGTAACACAAGGCCAAAATGACCTTGTTGTCGACGTATAGAATTGGAGGAGAACGAGGCCGCTCCCCCAAGTCGGTCAGCAGGTAGGTCACCCGGCGTAGCTCCTATGCAGCCATGGCCCCAGCGGAGATCTCGGCCTCACAGATGGAACCAAGCACAGAAGAAGAAAGAGTGGACCTCCACGAGACAGAGCCAGAGCCAAGACTGAAGGTGTAACCCTGTGGCGAACGCTGAGTCACATGGTCGTCGCCCAAAGAAGCATCCGGGTGTCCTGTGAGTACCACTTAACCCTGTCCTCCAAGCACGAGCCCCATGCCCGATGTACTGCACGAGTAACGCAGTACCCTCTTAGCAGCATCCCACTGCACCTTTCGGTGTTTACCGGGAGTCAAGTAGCGAGACAGGAGGCTGGGAGGGTACGCGAGGTCAGGTCATGTGCACGTCATCAGGTATATAAGGCAACCCACAAGCTCTGGATACGTACCACTCGGCTTTACGGACTCATCCGAAGGTGGAGCTGAGAGCGAGTGGCCAGTAGGCAGAGGAGTGGGCTGTGGCGAGGAGTACTGGAAGCCGACGCGCTGAAGGACCTGGTGCACCATGTGTGAATGAGTCAGGGTGATGGTGCGCCGTGCTCTGTCCCGGGTGATCTGCAAGCCAAGATAGCTTCGCAGCTCACCCAGGTCAATGCAGGTGCGTCTCTCCTGCAGCTCCGCCTTCACTAGGGTCAGCGCCTCAGTGTCAGCAATAGCAAATATCAAGTTGTCGACGTACACGAGAACGTAGAATGGCAGAAGGGTAGTGTCGGTGCGTAGAAACAGCGACGGGTCAGCAGCGGAAGGAGCAAACCCAAGAGCCACAAATGTCGTCCTCAGTGTGTTGTGCCACTCGCGGGGCGCCTGGTGAAGACTGTAGACTGGCCGTCGGAGGCTCCACTAGGTACCCGCAGGAAACGACCAAGTGAAGCCAGGTGGGCGGCGCATCCAGATCTCCTCCTGAAGGCTGCCATGCAAGAAAGCTGTAGAGAAATCGAGGGAGTGCAGCTCGTAGTCACGCTGTGCTGCAACGTGCAGCAACACTCGAAGAGTAGTCATCTTCGGGGTGGGGGAGAAGGTCTGAAAGTAGTTGACCCCCTGTCGCTGACTAAAGCCTCGAGCAACTTAACGTGCCTTGAAGGCAGGCAGAGAACCCGGTGGCCGCTTCACTCTGAAAATCCACATGCCTTCGACTATGTTCACCCCCGGAGGAGGAACCTCGTCGACGTAGGTGCCTGTGGACTTCCAGGAACATCTCTGCGTCCATGGCTGTCTGCCACTGAGAGGAGTACTCACCCGCGCTCGCCTTAGCGTAAGAGCGCGGGGTAGGGATGCCAAGTGCATCCGGGTCTCCCTCAGGGCAAAGGAGCATGGATGCAAAACGAGGTAAAGCGGCCGCGAGACATTCAAGCTCAAACTGCCTGTCCTCAAGGACGTCAGTGCCAAGAGCGGGCTCACTCTTGACGGACAGAGGACAGACAGACTCAAACTCGGTAACAAGACTCGCAACGTAGTCGAGACGACTCCTAGCAGCAAAGTCGACGAGCTCAGTGACTAGGGAAAACGCAGCAGTGGACTCAAAGCCAGGGTCAGTGACGATAGTAGCGAGGAGACGAGTGATAGTAGGACTGGCAGCACGAGTAAGGTCGGACTCTGGGTCAGGAACGTCAGGAAGAGAGGATGCCAGAGGAGACGGCAGGGCAACACGCTGTGGAACAGAGGAAGTACGAAGTGCCAGAACGTGAGTGCCTAGGATAGCAGGAGGACGAGGACGAGCGACAAGTCGAGCACTATCAGGTGTGGAAGTACGAGTCTCAGGCTCACAACCCTCGGTCAAGGACTCAGTCACCTCACTCTGAGGAGTAGGAGCGGGCAGCGGGGAGCCAAGCAGTAGCTATGGCTGAGACTAGTCTGTCAGTGGACACAGGAGAGGTGGAGTGAGGCCCGTGGAAGACAGGAAACTAAGAACCTGGCGAAGGGTTGAGTTAGGCGGTGGTAGGGACGACTGCGGCTGCGGGTAGAAAAACGGTCGGCTCGGCGCAGTACCCATACCGTAAGCAGCTCCAGTACCTCTAGCTCCAGCACCTCCAGTAGCACCTTCAGCACCTCAGCACCAACACCACCACCAGCTCCGGCAGCTCCAGCACCTCTAGTACGAGCACCTCCATGACAAGCAGCTCCAGCACCTCCAGTACCTTCAGTACCATCAGCTTCGGCAGCTCCAACACCTCTAGTACGAGCACCTCCAGGACTAGCAGCTCCAGCACCTCTAGTGCCTTCAGTACCACCAGCTCCAGCACCTCCAGTACCTCCAGTACCACGAGCTCCAGCACTAGTAGCTCCAGTAGTACCTCCAGCACCAGCCGCTCCGGCGTCGAGGTAACTTCAAGCTCCAGCATCAGAGCAGCCTCGCCGAACGACCCACTCACGAAGCTGCTGGGGTGAGGGTGTCTCGGGTCGACTAGGTGGCTGCTGTTGTCCAACACCAGGATCTGCAGTAGGAGCACCCACAGCCCCTCCACCACTAGGACTCGCAGCACCCCCAGTCTCAGCACCCCAAGAACCCTCACCCCCAGGACCAGCACCCCCAGTCTCAGCAACCCCAGAACCAGCACCTCCTGCGTCCTCACCCCCAGTGTCACCACCCCCAGCAGCACCAGTGTCCACAGCTACAGGCTGCAGAGGTGGTGAAGACGGTCGAGGCGGAAAACCAGGAGGGGTCTCCAAGCGTGGAGAGCGACGAGTGGCCGCCGTGTCGTCAACGGCAAGGTCACCCCCCTCAGCCGGGCCCGAGTCAGAAGAGACCTCCCAAGGCTCAACCAAGACACACCTGAGGGAGCAGGACCCTGTGGGGGGAGGGGTTATACCTGGGGGATAACTGGTGCCAGGAAGAGAGGTGCCAGGGGGACCGGGTGGGACGCGTACGGGTGGAGCCTGTAGAAACAGAGCGAGTCGTCAAAGGTGACGTCCTGGGAGGAGGGCACGCGACGCTCGCGAGGGTGGTAAAACTGCCACGGTGGGGCGTTGGTGGGGAAGCCCAAGAAGGCGCGGCGGAGAGTGCAAGAAGAGAGCTTGTTCGCGGTGGTATCGCGAACAAGGGAGAGTGCGCCCCAGACCCGAAACGTCGACGTATCGCCAAACTTTCCCGTCCAACGGAGTGAGGGCGAGGTCTCTAGCAAAGAGACACGGGGCCAGAGGTTGAGCTGATGCGCGGCGTATCATACCGCGAACGGCTACAGAAAATGGAGAGCAACCGCATGGATCATGGAGGTACGAGCAACCTCCATGATCAAGCCAATGCGACGCTTAGCAATCCCATTTTGCTGCGGAGAGGCTTGGAGCGTGAACGTCTGGATGATGCCCTCGTCTCGACAGAACTCCGCAAGGAGGCCGGAAGAGAACTCACCGCCCCTGTTAGAGTGCAGACGCAGGACCGGAAGGTCCCGCCGAAACCGCTCGCGCAGCTGGTGATGAGTAGCGCGGATCCAGGGGATCAAAACACCGCTGACGGCCGCCTTGCTGCGCAAGGGGAAGACCGTGGTGTAGCGCGTGTAGTCGTCAACGACCAGCATGAAGTAGCGCTCCTGATCCGTCCCACTGACATGGGCCGGTCCCCACACGTCCATGTGGAGAGTCTGCAGAGGAGCAGTGGTCGGAGGAAACGAGGAGGAGTGAGGAGCGGCGCGCTGCCGCCCCTCGACGTAGGGGGGCAGGCGAGCACGGGAGGGGGGGCAGGGACCTGGGAAGGCCAGAGACAAGGAGACGGGAGTGCATGCTGCGGAGACGCGGCAGTGAGGGGTGACCGAGTCGGTGGTGCCAGAGAAGAGTCTGATGGGAGAGTACCCAACACGAGCACGACGCAGCGAAGTGACCAGACGCAGACACCTGACTCAACGCAGCCACCTGACCTGACGTAGCCACCTGTACAGACGCAGTGGTCATGGTGTACAGACTAGACCCAGGCTGCCGAATGAACGTAGCAAGGTGACGTCCAGTCCGGGGGCACTTACAGATCGCCACACGCTGCCCTCCAGGGATAAAGGTATCAACCCAAACATCCTGAAGGACTGCGTTGCTCACCAAGTTTGTCAAGAACGAGGGGAGGTGGAGGCCTGAAAGAGATCCGGACGGGACTGCCGGACACGAGAGGATAGTAGTGGCTCGCGCTACGACTGGGCCCCCAGCGGGGCTAGCCAGTGAGACTGGGACAGGTGCTGCGAGCGGTGTGACTGTGGTGCAATCACGAAAGAAGCAACGTGACGCGCCTGAGTCAAATGTTAAAGTGTGCAAGGCCTCAGCTAAGGTGGGACTAGTGGCGGTAGACGCACTAGCACCTAGAGCTGCAGCAAACTCACTAGCACCTAGAGCGGCAGTAGACTCTACATAACCAGGGATGCCTCGCTGAGAAACACAGTCGCGAAGCCGCTGCGTGGAGAAGGTCTTCTACTAACGCTGCTACCGCCGCTGTCCAGTACCCATAAAACCATAACCTCCACCACCTGGATGGCCACGCTGAACTACCCACTCACGGATTTTCTGTGACGAGAAAGTGTCCGGGTGCACGGGCTACCGCTGGTGTCCAGCACCTCCAGCATGATAACCTCCACCACCAGGACGACCTCGCTGAATAACCCACTCGCAAAGCTGCTGCAGTGATAGAGTATTCGGGTGAGGCAGTGGCTGTTGTTGTCCACCCCTAGATGCTGCTACGATCGTGATAGTGGCCATGATAGGCCAAGTGGTCAGGTAAAGGGAGAGTGCTTAACATGCCGCAGATTGAACTCACTCTCCCTGCTCCCGCCGCTTTCCTCCACCTTCCCTCTCCCCCCTGTGTCCGATTCTAGGCTTGGACGTCTGTGCGGATACAGTGGTGGGGAATAACATGCTGCGCGACATCTCAGGCGGGCAAAGGAAGCGAGTCACCACACGCGTGTCCCTCGTGGGCCCCAAGCAAGTTCTCCTGATGGACGAGATCAGCACAGGGCTGGACTCCTCCACCACCTTCCTCATCATGCGCTGCCTGCGCCACCTCACGCACCTCCACGCCGCCACCACACTCATGGCACTACTCCAGCCCGCCCCCGAGACCTACGAGCTCTTTGACGACGTGCTGCTACTTGCAGAAGGCCACGTGGTGTTCCATGGGCCCAGGGAGCAGGTACTGCCCTTCTTCTCCCGCCTCGGGTTTGAGTGCCCCGCCAGGAAAGGGAGGCGGATTTACTGTAGGAGGTGACGTCCATGAAGGACCAGGGGCAGTACTGGAGGGCGGGAGCGGCTGGGGCAGATGGTGGGGCGGGTAGGAAAATCCAGCCGTATCACTATGTGCCGGTGCAGGCATTTGAGGCAGCATTTAAGGAGACGCAGATCCGCAAGGCCATTGCTGCCCGCCTCTCGGTACGTGCCAAGTGCTGCTGATCTGTGCGCAGTGTGTGCACGCACTTCTCCCAAAGCCCAGCGCTTGCCCCTTATCCCCACAGCTTTGCCACTCCTTTCAACTTTCTTTTTATCCCCCTCCTCGTTTCTCATCCTTCACCCCTCACACCAACCCCCACCTGGTGCCCTTCCCAAAAGAAAAGAGCCCTCCCAACGCCCCCGCCCACAAGCGCCACGCGCTGCCCACCTCGGAGATGTTCCGCGCAGTCTTCGCCCGGGAGTATCTGCTCCTGCAGCGCAACTCCGTCCTCTACGCAGCCCAGACCATTTAGATCATCCTCGTGGCGCTCGTCACCATGACCGCCTTTTTCCGCACCACCCTCGACATCTCCTTGCAAGACGACAACTATTACCTCGGAGCCACGTTCTTCGGTGTGGTCATGATGCTCTTCAATGGGTTCACGGAGCTCCCGCTAGTCAACTTCCGCCTGCCCATCTTCTACCGCCAGAGGGACGCGTTTCTGTACCCCGCGTGGGCGTGGGCGGTGCCCTTAGAGCTACTCTCCAAGCCCTTCTCCGCCTGGGCCTCCATAATTTGGACTGCTTTCCCCTACTATGGGATTGGCTTTGCACCGAAACCAGGCAGGTAGGCAAATAGAGGGGAAAGGTGAGGGAATGGACTGGGCAGGTGAGCGAAAGAATGAACCGGGCAGGTGAGTGAATGAAGTGCGCCTCCATCATCTGGACCGCCTTCACCTATCATGGCATTGGCTTTGCACCGGATTTGGGAAGGTAAGTGGATGAACCGAGCAGGTGAGTGGATGAACCGAGCAGGTGAGTTGATGAACCGAGCAAGTGAGTGGATGAACCGAGCAGTTGAGTGGATGAACCGAGCAGGTGAGTGGATGAACCGAGCAGGTGGATGGACCGGGCAGGTAAGTGGATGGACCGGGCAGGTGAGTGGATGGACCGGGCAGGTGAGTGGATGGACCGGGCAGGTGAGTGGATGGACTGGGCAGGTGAGTGGATGAACCGGGCAGGTGAGTGGATGAACCGGGCAGGTGAGTGGATGAATGGGGCAGTTGAGCGAATGAACCGGGCAGGTAAGTGCAAAAATGGGCGAGCAGTTGTTGGTTGGACCCGCTTCCATTTTTTTTTTATGGTCCTTTCCTCGTTCACCCACCTTCATGTTCCTATTCTTCCTCATCCATCAGGCGCCCATTTTCCTCTACCATCATGCACCTCATTCTCCTCATGCTACTTCACTCTTTCCTCCTCCCTCCCTTCTCGTTCTGTCCTCCTCCCCCCACCAGGTTCTTCATGCACATGTCTCTATTTTGCCACATCCACCAGGTCGCCATATCGTCCTTCCATCTCAGCATGCAACATCCCTTTTTCCTTCTTCTTCCCCTTCCCCCTCCCCACCAACCTCCTGCCCTTCCTTGCAGATTCTTCATGCAGATGCTGCTCTTCTTCCTCATCCACCAGGTCTCCATTTCTCTCTTCCGCCCCATAGGAGCAGTGGGTCCCAACATGGTGGTGTTCACGACCTTTGGCTCATTCGCCGACATCCTCTTTGTCGTCATGGGCGGTTTCGTCATTGCAAAACGTGCAAGACGTGTTTATAACGCGTATGTAGGGAGTGGGAGCATCGGGGCGCAACATGGTGGTCTCCACCACCTTTAGCTCCTATTCCGGCATTCTCCTTGTCCTGATTGGTGGGTTTGCCATCGATAAAGGTGGGTGAGGCGCACTTTGAACATACCCTTGTGAGCAGCAGCGGGCCGCAGCATGGTCAAGGTCCGCATGTTGGCTTTGTCACGCTCAGGCCAATACTAGAGTGTGTAAAGAGCTAGGTGACCGGCTTGGTTACCGCATGCTTGGAGAGCTCGGTTGCCCCTTTCCTCCCCTTCCATCACCTCCATTGATGTACGGCCCGCAAGCCCCCTTAATCTCTCCTCGCCCTCTCACTACTCCCCTTCCCTCCTCCTCCCCCCCCACGGCCCTTTTCCAGCCGACATCAGCAACGTGTGGATCTGGGCGTATTGGATTTCGCCTCTCATGTACGCGCAGAACGCCCTCGCTGTTAACGAGTTTCTCGCGCCCCGGAGGAACGTCGTGAGTGCTCCTGGGATTCCTATTCCCTCGGCTACGAGTGCTGGCACGTGGGTTCGCATCTGTAATAAGTGTTTGTCTCGCTGTTTCCAACTGTTGGCATGCACACGCGCGCGCGCACACACATACGCGCGCACACACACAAACACACACACACACACACACACACACACACACACACACACACACACACACACACACACGTGATTGTCTAGCCCAAATGTCCCTTCTTTCTACTGTCATTGCTTGTCATGTGTGTGCCTGCAGTCATGCCATATGTGCGCCAAGCCATGTGTGCGCCTGCAGCCCTGATTGCAATCTGCAGCTCCACGCATTTCCCTCTCGGCCACCATGGTCCAGATGATATGCTAGAGAGCTGCTCATGTTTCCTCATCGCCCTTCCTTGTGTGTACCCTTGTGTGTACCCCCTCTGCAGTCCGCAGGTCCCCTCTTCCCCACCACGGCCACCATGGGGCAGGTGTTTCTGGAGAGCCGCTCGATCCCAATGGATGACAAGTGGGTTGGCATTGGTGTGGCGGCACTCATTGGATACATCCTGCTTTTCAACCTCCTCACTGTTGCCACGCTCGCTTATCTTGATCGTAAGCTTTCAACACCTTCTCTCCTTGTTTCATCTGTCTGGTTCCATCCTACTCCCACAACCTCCTCACCTTGCTCACCCTTGCTTCTCTTAAGAATAAGCTGTGAAGCTCCCACTCTTGTGGTGCTGCTGCTATGCCCTCCATGATTCTCCACTCTGCTCTCTAGCCTGCTCTCTTGCCTGCTCTCTTGCCTGCTCACTTGCCTGCTCACTTGCCTGGTCTCTTGCCTGCTCTCCTACCTGCTCTCTTGCCTGCTCTCTTGCGTGCTCTCTTGCGTGCTCTCTTGCATGCTCTCTTGCGTGCTCTCTTGCGTGCTCTCGTACCTGCTCTCGTGCCTGCCTCTCTTGCTTGCTCTTGTGCTTGCTCTCTTGCCTTCTCTCTTGCCTGCTCTCTTGCCTGCTCTCTTGCCTGCTCTCTTCCCTTCTCTCTTGCCTGCTCTCTTGCCTGCTCTCTTGCCTGCTCTCTTGCCTTCTCTCTTGCCTGCTCTCTTGCGTGCTCTCTTGCTTGCTCTCTTGCCTGCTCTCTTGCCAGCTCTCTTGCCTGCTCCCTTGCCTGCTCTCTTGCCTGCTCACTTGCCTGCTCTCTAGCCTCTGCTCTCTTACCACTCACTCCAACGCACCGACTCATCCTAAGCCCTTAATCTCTTATGCTGCTCTCTCTCTCTCTCCCGTGCGCCTCTCCCTCCATGTGTGAGAGTGGGATCTGACCCAGCCACTGGTGTCGGAGGAGCAGATAGAGGCGAAGCATGCCACCTCCGTCTTACTGCTTGCTTCTCTCCTGCCCTCTCACCCCTCTCTCTCACTCTCCTAAACCCCCTTTTGACTGTTTGTCAATGCAGCGTGGGACCGCCCCCAACCGGTGGTGTCGGAGGAGCAGATAGAGGCGAAGCACACCACCCGCACGGGCAAGGTGGTGGTTGTAGCGGGCGGCAACAGGAAGCGGTCCACTCGGCAGAATGCAGGCAGCGCTTTGGACTGCTACTGCACCAGCCACACAGGGGCCAAAGGTAAGGGGTTGTAGAGATCTAGGTAGAGGTGAATGTGAGTGGTGTTGATTTTCTTGGATCAGCTTCAAAACCGCGCCACGCACCTCTTTGGCCCCCCATTTCAAGACGTGGAGTCCCAGGCCGAGTCCACCGAGGGCAAGCACGACATGGTGCTGCCATTTGCGCCTCACTCGCTCTCCTTCCACAACGTCAGCTACTTCGTCGGCATGCCCGCCGAGATGCGCGCCGAGGGCGCCCCCCCCCCCCCCCCCCCCCCCCCCCCCCCCCGCCTCCGACGCGCGCCTGCAGCTGCTGCGCAAAGTGTCGGCCGCGTTCTGCCCCGGGGTGCTGACAGCGCTGGTGGGCGTGTCGGGCGTAGGCAAGACGACGCTCATGGACGTGCTTGCAGGGAGGAAGACCGGGGGGTACATCGAGGGGGACGTGCGCGTGTCAGGGTTCCCCAAGGTGCACGAGACGTTTGCTCACGTGGCGGGGTACTGCGAGCAGAGAGAAATTCACACACCGCAGGTGACGGTGCACGAGAGCCTGCTCTTCTCCGCGTGGCTGCGCCTGCTGGTTGATGTTGACAAGGAAGTCAGAGAGGAGTTTGTGGAGGAGGTGATGGAGCTGGTGGAGCTTGATAGTCTGCGCGACGCCATGGTGGGGTTGCCGGGGGTCAATGGGCTCTCCACGGAGCAGCGCAAGCACCTCACCATCGCCGTCGAGCTCGTTGCTTGGGCTGAGAACAGAAGACGAGCGTGTAGACCGCCAAGAAACGGAGCCAGAGCCAAGGCTGAACGTGTAACCCTGTGACGACCGCTGCGTAGCCAGGTCGTCAACCCAAGAAGCGTCTGAGTGCCCAGTGAGAACAAACGAACTCCGCCCTCCAAGCACGAGCCCCATGCCCGATGTACTGCACAAGTAGCGTAGTACCCTCTTCGCAGCATCGAAGTGCACCTTTCGGTGCCTACCAGGAGCCACGTAGCGTGCCAGAAGGCCAAGAGGGTACGCAAGGTCAGGACGAGTGCAGGTCATCAGGTACATGAGGCAGCCCACTAGCTCTGGGTACGGACCACTCGGCTCTACGAACTCGTCCGAAGGTGGAGCTAAGAGCGAGTGACCTGTAGCCAGGGGATTGGACTATGGGGATTGGACTATGGTGAGGACCAAGTGAAGCCGAAGCGCTGAAGGACCTGCTGCACCATGTGTGACTGAGTCAGGGTAATGGTGGGCCGTGCTCTGTCCCGGGTGATTTGTAGACCGAGGTAGCTGCGCAGCTCACCCAAGTCTGTGCACGTGTGTCTCTTCTGCAGCTCCGACTTCGCAAGGGTGAGAGCCTCAGTGTCAGCAGTGGCAAAGACCAAGTCGTCGATGTACACGAGAATGTAGAGCGGTGGCAACGAAGTGTCGGTGCGCAGAAACAACGACAGGTCAGCAGTCGAAGGTGCAAACCCAAGAGCCGCAAGTGTCGTCCTCAGTGTGTCGTGCCACTCACGAGGCGCCTGACGGAGACCGTAGACTGGCCGACGGAGGCTCTACTGGGTACCAAGAGGGAACGACCCAGTGAAGCCACGTAGGCGGCGCAGCCAGATGTCCTCGTGGAGACTGCCCTGTAAGAACGCTGTGTTGAAGTCCAGAGAGTGAAGCTCGTAGTCACGCTAAGCGGCAACGTGCAGCAGCACCCGAAGAGTGGTCATCTTCGAGGTGGGGGAGAAGGTCTGGAAGAAGTCAACTCCCTGTCACTAACTGAAGCCTCGTGCAACGTAACGAGCCTTGAACACAGGCGGAGAACCCGGCGCCCGCTTCACCCTGAGAATCCACATGCCATCGACTACGTTCGCTCTAGGAGGGGGAACTGCGTCGACGTAAGTGTGTGTGGATTTCCAGGATGCCATCTTTGCGTCTATGGCTGTCTGCCACTGAGTGGAGTACTCACCCGCGATTGCCTCAGCGTAAGAGCACGGGGTCGGGATGTCTGGAGCATCCGGGTCTCCCTCAGGGGCAAGCAGCATGGCCACGAGATGAGGTGCAGCGGCTGCAAGACACTTAAGGTCCTCCTGCCTGTCCTCAAGGACGTCCGTGCCAAGAACACACTCACCCCCAACGGACGGAGGACAGACAGACTCAGACTCAGCAACAAGACTAGCAGCGAAGTCTAGACGACAGGCAGCAGCAAAGTCAACAAGCTCAGAGACTAAGGCAGACGCAGTAGCAGACTCAAACGACGGGTCAGTGACAACTGTGGCTAGCAGACGCATGACAGTAGGGTGAGCAGCACGAACCAGGTCAGACTCACGGTCCTTAACGTCATGCAGAGAAGATGCAGGAGCGGACAGTAGGGGAACACGCTGTGGAATAGAGGAAGGACGAAGTGCCATAGCGTGCGTGCAAGGGACAGGAGATGGACGCTCACAAGGAACATGACTACTAGTGCGACGCGCGCGAACAGGCGAGGCAGGACGAGACGCAGGCTCACGGCGCCGTGTAAGCGAGTCTGTCTGCTCATTGTAAGGAGAAGGAGCGGGCAGTGGTGCGCCGGGCTGTAAGGGGAGGCCAGCAGAAGAGGGGAGCCTAAGAACCTAGCGAAGCACAGAGTCAGGCAGTGGCAAAGACGACGGTGACGGCGGAGCGAAAAACACTCACGGGGGTGCAGTGCCACCTGTACTAGTAGCTCCAGCGCCTCCAGCAGCTCCAAAACCTCCAGCCCCAAGGCCTCCAGCAGCAGCACCTCCAGCTCCAGCGCCTCCAGCAGCTCCAGAACCTCTAGCTCCAGCGCCTCCAGCAGCAGCACCTCCAGCTCTAGTGACTCCTGCAGCAGCACCTCCAGCTCCAGCTCCTCCAGCAGCTCCAGATGTCAAAGCTATATTTGAGATTTATCCTGCTTGTTGTAGTTACTGTAGTTATTACTCTTTGTTGTTGGTGGTGCACCTCTTGTTTGTGTATCTCGACTATATCTTGTATGCTTTCCTTTAGAGAAGCTATTTTGTTTGGTCAATTTCTCTCGACACTCTCTTGGCCTTGACCTCGACACTTGCTTGGCCTAGGCTACTAAGCCTAGGCCCTCCCTAAACCCGGCTCCTAAGTTACGACCGTATCGTAACATGGTAGAGAGCTAGGTCCAATTGGGACCGTTTTCAAATGGGCCCACCATTAGCGCTCGCAATGGCGCGCCCCTTAGTGCGCCTTGTGAGCACTTTCCCGTTTTCCGCCCGTCGCCCGCGCACTACCAGCAATGCACGCCACCGCGCATGCAAGGAACGCACTAGGAACGCCAGGATCGGACCCGCCAGCAAGCACGCCGACGGACCCACCAGCAAACCCGCCGACGGACCCGCCGTCAGTTCCGCCAACGAGAGCGCCAGCAAGCCCGCCGACGGACCCGCCAGCAAACCCGCCGACGGACCCGCGGTTGGACCCGCCAACGAGAGCGCCAGCAAGCCCACCGACGGACCCACCAGCGCGGTGTGAGCACGCCCGCCGACGAACCCGCCAACGAGCCCGAGAGCAAGCCCGCTAATGGACCCGCCGTCGTCACGCTGCCTCGTCGCGGCTCCGTGGCGCAGAAACAGCGACGGGCGCAGTGGGGGCGAAGAGGAAAGGGGGAAGGGAGTGGCGGCCGCCAGCGCCAGCATCCGCCAGTCACACCTCTTCCCCGCCCGCCCTCCCGTCGACTTCGCAGCTGCTGTGAAGGGAGTGGCGGAAGTGGCGGGGGTGTTGGGAGTGGCGGGAATGTCGGGCGTGGCGGGAGTGGTGGGCATGGCGAGCGTGGCGGGAGTGGCGGGAGAAGCTGCTGCTCCACCAGTGCATGCCACAGATCGTCCACGACCCGCAAGCCCACCAGTAAACGAACTAGCAGACCTGCGCCAGCACCAGGAACCAACACCAGGCACCAGCACCAGCGCCAGGAACCAGTACCAGCACCAGCACCAGGAACTAGCACCAGCACCAGCTGCCAGCACCAGGAACCAGCACCAGCACCAGCCGCCAGCACCAGGAACCAGCACCAGCGCCAGCCGCCAGCACCAGGAACCAACACCAGCGCCAACCGCCACCAGCAGCACCCCCAGAGCCGACACCTCCAACTCCAGGAGCAGTACCAATCCCGGCAGCTCTAGTACCTCCAGTACGAGCACCTCTAGGATCAGAGACACCAACACTCCCAGCGCCTCCACGAGAAGCAGCTCCAGTAGCACGACTCCTCAGGCGGGTACGCAACGCAAGCCACTCTCGTGTCTGCTATGGTGAGACATGGTCGCGTCGTGAAACGAGACCCAGAGGAACGCCAGCAGAATCAGCACCCCCCGACCCGGTAACCGCCGGCTCGGCATTCCCAAACTCCTCAGCCGCAGGCTCAGCATCCCCAGGCTCCGCACTCCCCAGCACCTCATACGCGGGCTCAGCACCCCCAGACGCAGCACCCCTAGCAACCCCTCCCGCAGCAGCACCTGAGTCGCTAGTGACCTCTACAGGCTCAGCCACGGGGGGTGGGTCTACCTGAGACACACCTGAAGGAGCAGGACCCTGAGGGGGGAGGGGGTCTACCGGATGGGGACCTGGAGCGAGGAAAAGCGGCGGGGGAGGGAGAGGGGCAGTGCGGTAGGGGAAGAGACGGTAGAAAGGAACCGACTAGTCAAAGGTGACGTCATGAGAGGGCAGGACACGGCGTGAGGTGGGGTGGTAGAATTGCCAGCCATGCGCGTCAAGGACAAAACCAAGGAAGACACATGAAATGGTGCAGGAGGAGAGCTTGTCCGCGGACGTATCGCGGACAAGGGCACAAGCACCGCAAACCCAGAAGCGCGACGCATCGCCAACCTCCCCCGTCCAACGCAATGTGGGCGAGGTTTCCGGCAAGGAGACACGGGGCCAGAGGTTGAGCTGTTGCGCGGCATACCAGACCGCAAATGGCCACAGAAGATGGGGAGTCGCCGCATGGATCAAGGAGGTACGAGCGACCTCCATGACTAAGCCAATGCGGCGCTCAGCAACCCTATTTTGCTGCGGTGAGCCCGGAAGCGTGAACGAGTGCTCGATGCCCTCCCCCTGACAGAAGGCCCGCAAGAGGTCGGAGGTGAACTCACCACCTCTGTCAGAGTGCAGACGCAGGATTGGATGGTCCTGGCGGAACCTCTGGCGGAGCTGAAGACGAACTGCTCGGAGCCAAGGGATGAGGACACCAGGGACCTCACCCTTGGTGCACAAGGGGAAGACCGTGGTGTAACGCGAGTAGTCGTCGACAACCAGCAGAAAGTACCGCTCACCGCCCTATCCACGAACGCGGGCTGGGCCCCACACGTCCAGGTGGAGGGTCTGCAGAGGAGCTTCTATCGGGGGAAATGAGGAGGAGTGAGGAGTGGCGCGCTGCCACCCCTCGACACAAGGGAGGCATGGCGGCACAGGGGAGGCAGGGAGGGGAGGGAGATGTCAGTAGATCTGCACTGTGGATGCCCGATTGATCCTGGAGAAGGTTACAGGCGCGTTCGCCTGGGGGGTTATGGGCGCACTGACCCGCTAGTGAAACAAGCCCTTTTATCCCAATGGTCTAGTGGTTGGGATTCTGACATGGTATCACAGCGGTCTCGGGTTCAATTCCCGGTGTATGCACATGTAGGACGTTGCCGCTGTGCTTAGTCCTGGGCCTCCCAGTGTGGGGGGGTGTCAGTAGATCTGCACTGTGGATGCCCGATTGATCCTGGAGAGGGTTACAGGCGCATTCGCCTTGGGGGTTATGGGCGCACTGACCCGCTACTGAAACAAGCCCTTTTATCCCAGTGGTCTAGTGGCTTGGATTCTGACAGGAGAGACCTGGGAAGACCAGACACAAGGAGACGTCGGTGCATGCCACGGAGACGTGGGAAGGAGGGGTGACCCTGGCGGTGGTGCTAGAGAAGAGTCTGGTGCGACATGGAGCGACACTCACAAGGGGAGGCTACCAGACTTGACGCAGACACCTGACCGACAACAGCTACCGAAGGAGACACAGTCGTCAATGTGTAAAGACTCGACCCTGGCCGACGGGTGAACGTGGCCAGGTGACGGCCAGTCCTGGAGCACGTACAGATCCCCACACGCTGTCCTCCAGGGGTAAAGGTGTCAACCCAATGATCCTGGAGGACGGCGTTGCTCACCAAGTTCGTCGAGAACGAAGGGAGGTGGAGACCTGATAGTGAGCCA